CAGGAATGCTTCCCCTTCTGGCTTCCCCAAATTCACCTCCCTATTCAAGGCTTCTAGCGGCATTCTTCACCCTAAACAAGAGCTTTTTTACCCTAGTCTGCTTTGCCTGGGGTCTTTCAACTCCGCTACACAAGCAATACCTCCAGCTCCAAGATCAACTATAGGTGACTCGATCCCATCATATTACTCCACTTACAAAGACATCAACGTCAGCCCCAGCAGAGTCCCATTAACCATGATCCATCAGTTACTTACTAGTAAGTGCTTCCTGAACTACTGTTGATCATAACTTCCTACTATTAATCTGCAAGCCAGTTCTGCCTCTCTACCCTAGGTTGGTCTCTTCTGGCTTTTTGAAGACTGCATTCCCCATCTAGTCTCTTGGAACATGACAATCTTATAAGGTCCCTTTCAGCCCCTAACATCTATGAATCTATGAAAGTGCAAGGAGCACCACTTGTTTTTGTGCGCTGTAAGACTGTGCTACCTAGTGCTCATTAAGCTAATTACAGAGACAGACAGGTAACAAGACTGTTCAAAACAAATCCTAAGAGGCCATGTATCTTTTTAGAGCTACTCCTTGAAAACAAGGCAAGTGTGAGAAAGCAGTATGAAGTTGGATCCAGCAACCACATTAAGTTGATTATAAGGGGAAAATTACCTCCTCCCTTCCTCTTCTGGGAGTTAGAGAATACCTTAAAGAGGCAGATTCTGGTTCTATTACCAGTTTCTTAACATCCAGTTGACACCTACAGGGTTTCCCTAACAAAACCATTACTTAGCAGATAGCAAATTTATTCCATCCAACTCCAGGGCAAGGCAACTAGCATCTACTTTTAGAAATGTTTTGGAGAAGACAGGCCAGAGATGTAAACAGACATAAGATGGAAATAAGTAGAGATGTCTGTGAACACAGAGAGAAAATAAGACCTAGGGAGGAGGAATAATAATTAGGATGGAAGAGAGATGAGAACGACAGAATAACCATAGTCCTAAGCCAGTTTCTTGGCTCCCACCAGAAGTTTCTTCATACTTTAGGAAACAGCCAGGCCACCTGAAACAAGAGAAGCAGTTTTAGATAACTATGGAACATACCTTCTTTTCAAAATCCAGGCCCCTCTCTCTAGGCCCTTGATGGAGCAGATACTTGCCACTACAGTGATAGTAGAATGAACCTGGTTTTAGTGTAAGAGGCAGAGACAGTTCTGCAGTTATAAATTTGTTGCAATAGAGGAGAGAGAGAGATTCTAAAAAAATGGCACTGTAACCCTGGGCCTGCTTAAGAAACCACAGACAAAAAGAAGACATTTAAAATAATCAAAAAAAGCTGAGATTAATTCACCCTGACTAACCACAAAGAACGGTTTTAATGTGTTACAAAATACTTTTGTGGGTAAATAAATAAATACATTCACTCAACACATGATTGACCGGTGGGATCACTCAGCAGGCAATGCAGATGATTGTTCCTGCTTTGGGAGAGAACAGAAAGAGAGATTTGAGACAGGGATCAGATTTCTTCAGATAAGCAGGACTAAAGAGGGTACAGTGAACAATCCATCATGGGAACAGAGGGACAATTCCAGAGAGACTAAGTGGCCCATCCAGACAATCCAGTAAAGAGCCTGAAAACAGAATGGGGATTATGAACCAGGGGCATCTGAGCTACTGGAGCAGCACTTGCTTACAGCTACTGTACCTCACAGAAAACAACCTATAAAGAAGTAAGTGAAAGGGAATCAGAGGACATCACATTCCCCATTCCAGAATACAAGGGGTTAATTCTAATGAAGGCTCTATTTCAGACTATCCTTGGGCTAACAATCCAATCACATCATCAGACTGGTAAGAAAAGAAACTCCCCTGCAAACTCTCAAAAGTGAAGACAAAAATGAAAACCAGGAAATTCTCTGTTAGCCAATCTTAATTCTGTCCTCATATTTCCTGCTCACCTTTTGTGTATGGACCAGGTAGTGTAACCTGCTCTCCATGGCTACATCAAAGGGGTGAAGATTCAGCCCATGAGACTAAAGAGGAAAGCAAAGTTGCCAGGGCTGCTACTGCCCATGTACATAGATTAAGCATCAAATGCTCTTATCAGGGTAATGGAATAAGAAGAGTCTTCGCCTAGATCAGGAAGACAAATAATTTCCAAATAGGTAGACAGTCTAAAGCTTGAGCATGGTTCAAGAACAACTACAATGGATATAACTACACAACAAAATGGAAGTGTTATAAATGGCTTGAACATAATCTACTCATTCAGACCACTGTTCTGAGCCTGCAACCGGACAACACTGGGTGCCTCTGCATGTGGAGTAATACGTTATTGTTACTGTGCATTAAGTTTAGTACCTGAAATATGAAGTACTAACTACATGCACAGTAACCTTTGCTATTGCGCAGTAGAATCGGTGCACGGTCTTTTCATGATGCTTAATATGCAGCAGACTAATACTATTGCACATTAGCGCAGCTTTTGCCATGATGTGCTAATGCGCAGTAGAATTAGTCTACTGCTCATTATCTTGTGTAGACGTGCCCACTGCGTATGGAATTAGAAACTTCTAAGGCAGCTGAGTGACAATCACACGAGGGCCCTGTCAAGTAGCAAAGCGTCAGAAACGTAACAGGTACTATTAAACCAAGGTAGGCCTCGCCACTTACAAAGCCAGAGAAAGCTGATACAGAGCTGCTGAGAGTAAGATGAACCAAGGGTTTAACACTCTTCTTTCTTTCACTATTTATTTTAACTTTCAAACTGAGCTAAGAAATCTAATGAGGCTTGAAATATAGAAAACAGTACCTGCAGCTCAGCATTTCAAAGCTTCTTGCCCCGTCTCTCCTCCCCACCCCCAACAGCCCTCCGAGATCCAGGCTGGCAGCCTGCGAGGGGGGCTCCTGTAATTTGATTTGAATGAAAGTAAATGGCTCGTCACGTAAACACATTGACCAAACTTGCCACGGGACCTGGCCAGTGAGGTTTTCTGCCACGTGCAGCAGGATGGTCGGACACACAAGATGTTCCCCATGGAGGCCCGTGCTGGCATGCTGACGCCCAGGGATGAAGTGCTGCAAGCTGGGCAGGGGCCTTGGAGGGCTGAGCCTCTGAAACGAGGGCAACAGAGAGCCTCCTGGGGGCTGCGTTCTGGCCACATCAATAATGGGGCAGTGCAAGTCAAAAATGCCAAGTGCTCCTTAACCTGCGTGACTGGGTCCAGAGAAGGGAATCAGACCCCTGCCCAGGGTGGCTGCTCTCAGCCAGCGACTGTTTGGGCAAGGCCTAGTTGCGGGACTGGCCTGGGAGCCAGACCGGGCCGGACCACAGTTTACAGAGGGACCCGCAACCTCCCGGGGAGCACGTTTAGGCTGCTGGACCCGGG